AGAGAAAGAGAGAGAGAGAAAGAGAGAGAGAGTAAGTGAGAGACTGAGACTGGTGAGCGTATGTTTGCAGGTTCATTCACTTGTGCGCTTTGGGTAGAGATGAAGGTTTTGTAGAGCGCCTAGAATTATATAGTGCCAGAGAGTGTGCACTCTAGAAATCATCTGCATAATCATTATTAAAAGTTATGAAAGACAAAGCCAGTCAGAAAATATGCGTAGAGATTTAAAAATGGGTGGTTGGCGGGTGCTCTGGTGTGGTTTGCTTCTTCTTCCCTATCAAACATCTATCGTCCTTCTCTCCCCTTCTTCTTTTTTATGTTTGTTACTCTCTTGTATCACCTCTAATCTTCTGGCGCTCATATGACCTTATACAGTTGCGAGCGCCGTAAAACCCTCTACTAAAACTAAACTAAGAGATTTAGAATGATGAACACGAGTAGAATACCCAGGTCACAAGAAAACGAAGAAGCGATGACACTAGAAAAAGAAAAATTGATAGTTTATCAAAGTCTGTCTGTGGTTACCTTCATCCACGCCTGTCTCTTAGCGTCACGCCTCTCGATGGTGTAACGTTTGATGGGCAGTCCGCCATCTTTCTCCGGCGGTTTCCAGGAAATGGTGGCGGAAGTACTGGTGACGTTGGACGCCTCCAGGGGACCGACGGGAGCGGATGGTGGCTCTGATGGCGGGAAAAGGGAGACAGATCACCAGGTGTGAGTACAGGAATGATAAAAGACGAGTCACCAGGTGTGAGTACAGGAATGATAAAATAATCTTTTTTTTCTTTTTGTTCCCAATCCATTTACAATGACGCCATCTGGTTAGTTAATCATTTTTTTATGCAGTGTGTTTTGATGTCATGTGTTTTGATGTTTGATATGGTGTGTTTTGATGTGATGAGTCAAGTCAACAAATGATTTTGACAAGATTACGTTTCGAGATGACAGACTGTATACTTTACTTTTTTACAGTTACAACGTACGTTCACACCTCTAATCTTTGGCTCTCATATTACGACTTGTTTGTGTTGTAAATGCCGTAAAACGGCTCTCATATTATGACTTGTTTGTGTTGTAAAT